CGCCGCCGCCCGAGGCCGCCCGACGTCGTCGCTCCGAGCCTGCCGCCCGCGCCGAGCGAGCACTCGCCACGTGCGGCTGCATTTCGAGTCGGGCCTGTCCCGCTACAGTGCCGTTTTTAATACATGTTCCGCGTGCGGATCATGTATTAAACATGCAGGGATCTAGTATTAAAAGCAACGATGAATTCATGCCTACATCTATTCATGAATCAATCATGTATTAAACTTCCTCTATGTTTAAAAATCCGACGTATTAAAAAACTGCCTTGTAGCATGTTTGCTTGCCCTGCTGCCTGTCTGCACGAGCGCTCGGCGCTCTTGCGCGCGCGCGCGGGTGTGCGGTGGCCCGTCCGTGCGTGTCTCCGGCCCGCCTCGGAAGGAAGCATGCGGTGAAGTCGGGCCTGTCCCTCCACAGGGGGAGCTTGGGCGAAGGATACAAAACATACCCCCCAGAACGCTCCCAAAATGCCCAACAGTACGCCAAAAATCGTCCCCAAAGTATTTTTGGACTATTTTTGAGTTTCCCCCCCTGTAGAGGGGGGCAGGCCCGACTTGAGCCAAGTCGGAAGGAAGCATGAGGAATATTCAAAAATGGCACAAAAATAGTGTGGGGACGATGGTTCGAGCATGTGTTGGCCATTTGGGGGTATTTTTCTGCATATCATTTAATTTTTCGTCCAGAATCCGCCTGTTGGGGGGACATGCCCGATCCAAGCAAACAGCGAGGGCGTTGGATCAGCAAGGAACCGCCGGATGAAGAACCCAGGGTCCGGAAGCTGGCGGAACACCAATTGGGACGTTGCTGTGGATATCACAGCCACCCGCACCAGATATGGAATCATCTAGGGTCTGAAGCCTCCTGGGCACATTTCCCAACGAACGCCCACCACGCCATTCTGGTCGCTGGACGAGGAGGAGGACGACGAGAAGGAGGGGGATTAACGAGATGAGCACGATGATCGGGAGCAGATGAGGGGAAACAGAGGAGAACGAGGAGGAGGGCAGGGGCGACATCGGGCAAGGAGGACGAGTAGAGAGACGATTGGGATAAGCAGGCCGTTGGGGAGGAGGAGGAGGAGGAGAAGGTGGAGGCGGAGGACAGCGATGGCACAGAAACGACGAGCGACGACGGCAACGACGAGGGCGGCCGCGGGGCCGGTCTTTTCTCTCGTCCAGCGGCTGCAGCTGGCCGGGGCCTCCGCCCAGCCCGCGGCAGCCGCCGCCGCCGCCGCCGCCGCCGCCGACGACGACGACGACGACGACGACGACGACAGTTGGGAATTTTGGCTTAGCGTGTCGCGCGCCGTTTCTGGCTCAGTGCGCCTCGGCGCGACACGCCAACCACTCGCCATTTCCAAGCGTCGGCGTCCCGAGCATTGCCAAGCCTGTCCCGGGCCTGCCGAGACGCTGCCCGCTGGCAGGGCACGGCGTGTCGCCGGGGCCGCCGCAGCGACGCCCGAAGCAAAAGCTCCCGACCGTAGAGCTGGCAGGCCGCGCGCGGCGGCAGTAGTCACCACCCACCAAGCCACCCCAACCCAACCCGAAGGCTCAGATTTACCCTCGATGTCCAGTGGGGGGAGGGTCGGGAAACATCGAGAACACGCATGTGGAACCCCTACCCCCCCCCAACCCGAAATTCGGGTCTTCGGGTTGGGTTGGGGTGGTCTGGTAGGCAGTCAGGTAGCGGCGGCGGCGGCGGCGGCGGCGCGCGGATCGCAGCCGCGGCGCGGCGGCGGCTCCGCCCAGGCGCGCCGTCGCGGCGCGCCCGCGGCCGGCCTCGCGCGCTGCGCGCGAGCGCGAAGCGCGCCATGCGGCGGTGGCGCGGGCGGCCGGCACTGGCCGTGACGGCACCGGGCGGGGCGAACGTCTTTGCCGCCCCCCGTCCCCCGTTTTTTTGTTGGCGGTGTTTTGTTTTCTGTTTTTGCATTGTATGTACCAATTCTTCGGCACCGCCTGCACGCCGCACCCTCCGGCCGCCGAAGGCCCCGCCCGCCCGCGCCCTGTCTCCCCAATTAGTGCTTCGTGCGCCCCGCCTAGCTCTTAACCGGAAGAGGCCCGCTGTCGACCCCGCCGACCCCCCCCCAAAACACAACAAAACATCTGTTTTTGTTTTGTATGTACCTTTTTGTTTTGTTGTTTGGAACTTTTGCCGCGGCAGCCCAGCTTAGCCAGTGAGGGGGAGGGGCCTGCCGATGGCCTGACCTTCTCGCTTTGGGGGCGGCCCCGCGCAGGCCCGCGCGCGCCAGCGTGGGGGTACCCGGCAAGGCCAGTGTTTGTCCTCGGGGAGGGCGGGCGCTCCCGATAACTTGGATGGTCGCTGGACTCGAAGATAGAGGAGGAGGCGGGAGGAGAGCCAGAGGAGGAGGAGGGTGTTGAAGGGACTGGCGCGAGGGCAGTGTCCGATCAACAGAGTCCGGTGCACCCTCGAGGAGCCCTGGCAGACTGGGCGTCTCCTCGGGGCCGGCGGAGCTGCGCCCGCGCTCAAGGGGCGCAGCTCGAAGTCGTTCGGCTCTGGGCAGACCAGCCTGAGGAGGCTGGCGGCGTGCAGCGGTGGCGCAAGTGGCTGGTGGCGCCACCCGCTGCAGGCCACAGGCACATGTGAGCTGGATTGCACCTGGTTGCCTTGGGCTGCGTCGAGGAGGAGGAGGATTAAGCCGGGCCTGTCCCCCTACAGGGGGATTTTCGACGAAAACAAAAAATACCAAAAACAAATTGAAAAATAGTCCAAAAATAGTCTGGGGACTATTTTTGAATATTTTTTACCTTTTTGGAGTATTTTTGGGGTATTTTTATTTTTCGTCGAAAATCCCCCTGTAGGGGGACACGCCCGACTCAAGAGGAGGAGGATCATTGCCAACCGAGGTTCCTCGGTCTCCCCTCTGAGCGCAGAGGTTTTGTCATGGGCGGGCTCGCGCGCGTGTATGCTCGAGCCGTGCAAGAAGGGTTGCTGCATTGCGGCCCTGGGTCGTCGGGCCCCTGGTAAGGATTTGCGAGGTCTTCCTGCGGTGCAGCTGGAGTTGAACCGACGCTGCAAGTGCAGCACTTTTTGTCCATAAGGTGGTCAAAGAGCAGCGGCAGCTGTAGAACTGTGGCAGGAAGGAGAAGGAGGAGAAGGAGGAGGAGGAGGAGGCTTTGCGGGAGGTCAAGCACGATCACGGGTAGGAGACGATCCCCAGTCGGGTCTCACCGAGAGTTCTCAGCTTGCGCGCGCCCGTGATCGGAATCACTGGAAGCCCACGCCTCTCGGTGAAGTTGAAGGTTTGAGAAACAGGCGCAAGTCGAGACCGCTTGAGAAGCCCATTCTCGTAAGACGTTCTCGGCGTTTGAGAAGTGAAAACCGTACGACGTTCTCGACGTTTGAGAAACATGTCATTCGTTACGTAAATGCCGGCGTGTCCTTGAGCTGAGAGCCTAGAAGAGCTGGGGTGTAATCCCTATCGTTGCCTGCTTCTCCTCTCTTGCCCTTCTTTTTCTCATGGGTGGTGGAGGATGGGAGAGGGATGGGGAAGAGGGACGGATGGGGGATCTGATGCGAGACAGGGGAAGGCGAGGGCCAGGGGAGACGCATATGGGGAACGGAGAGGGGAGGGGGCCAGGATTGGGGTGGGGGGGGGCTCGGGATGGTGAGCGGGGGGGATCTGTGGGTGGCACGGTCCAGAAGTGGTAGGGGGGGGGGGGGATCGGGGGGCGATCTGGGGGGGCATGGTCCAGAGGGGGCGCGTGCAAGCCATGTTCCATTTTTCAGGAGAGGGAAAACACACACAGACACAATTACTCGTCGATCCCCAGGAAAATATGCGAAAATATGGGAAGTGGGGGGGAAGACAAAGACCCAGAAAATATAGTAAAAGATTGGGAATATGGTTATTTGTGTGTATTTACTTGTGTGTCCCAGGGCCCATTCAAAGATGAGGACGCAGGCAAGGAACACTGCTGACATGACCCTTTTCCACGTGCTTTCCACGATGCTGATCACCGCCTTCGAAAGTGCGCCCGTCTCCCGGCAGCAGCACTGGCCTAGAAAGCTCACAGCCCCTGGCTTCTCTGTCGTTTCCCTCCCTCCGCCTCGGTCCCGCTGTCCCTCCTCCCTTTTCCCCCTCCTCGCGAGCGAAAGCTATACCCGTCTCCGCGTCCTCGCGTGCTGGGCCCCTGGGCCGCGGCCCCCGCGGATGCGGGGCGCTTCTTCGCGAATGCCCTGCGCGGGGCGTGTGCGTGCGAGCGCGTATCCGCGGGACGGCGCCCCGGAATCCACACCGCGAGGGCGCGGATACGAATAGCCACCGCCCACCAACCCCCCCCAACCCAACACGAAGGCCCCGATGTGCCTTCCATTTCCAGTGGGGGGGGGGTCGGGGAGCATTCGCAAAAACACATATGAAGCCCGTACCCCTTCCCCGACCCGAAATTCGGGTCGTCGGGTTGGGTTGGGGTGGTCTGGCAGGTGGCCAGATAGGTTTGCCGCTCGTGGCTTCCCTCCCTCCCCTCCTTCTTTCCCCCCTATCCGTAAGTCGGCCCTGTCCCTCTACAGGGGGAATCTGGACAACTAGTCAAAATTTTAATGTGAACGATTTCTGGGCAATTCCCAACCATCCTGTGGTGTTGGGTCCTCGCTTTGAAGAGACAGCGCCCCGCGTCCCACCCACTCACTCCTCCTCCCCCCTCCTCCCTCCTCCATGCGTTTCACCCACCCAGTACTGCGTTCAGTGGCCCCATAGGGAGCTCCACGTAAGGCCCCAGAGGGGGGGTACCACATGCGTCTGCCACACCCAATGATCGGCGATGGGGGGCCGACAGCCCGCCCTGCCCCGCCCCGCACCGCCCCGCCCTTCCAGTCGCTATCGGAGGCGCAGCGCCGAGGCGATGTGGCACCGACTCTGGGTCGATGACGTCTCCCTGAACTGGTTCCCCCTTACGGTGGAGACCCATTCCAGAGGACCCAATAGGGGGTCCAGCGACAAGGGTGTGGTGCAATAGATTTGTGGGTTCCGGAGCGCAAATGTATGGCCGGGTCTTCGCGTGCAATACACGAGTTGCAATACAATGCAATACAATTCTTTGGCGCAATACATTGGCAATACAACTGCCCCAAATCTATTGCACCACCCCCTTTCAGCTGGACCCCCTTTTGGGTCGCAAGGACCCGTGTCAAGAAACACCCTGCTTGTCTCCAGGGTGCCCTGGGTTTCTTTGGTTTCGATGATTATGCCGTTGAAAGCGCGACGCTCCCACACCAAAAACCAATGGACGTCCTGGGGTCCCGGGGTTGGGTTTCTTGGGGAAGTCTTCTTGTGGTCGGGCCCCTACTGTATCGTTGCCCCTCAGTGCCGGAGTCATCGCTAACGGGGTTCAGCCAATCCCTTCCGATCACCTCTGGCTGACCCGGGTTTGGGAGGCACGTGGAGCCGACCCCGCCTCCATTTCTTCCGCTGACTCGGATTCAGGAGCTACTTTGCGGCTGACCAGGGTTCATGGCTTGCCTTTGGTTGACACGGATTGGCGTTTACCCGGGTCAGTGCCTCACCAAACGGTGTTGTAAGGTTGGCACTGTTTGCAAACATGTTCCTGCGCGAAATTGAAATTCCTAGAAATTGAGGTTTTGCTTGACAGAATTAGCATACTTGATTTCCGCTTGTGTTTCCAGCGTTTCCGTATTGGTTTTTGTTGATACTTGGCTGCATTAGATTTCAAAGCTTCTCCTCCTCCTGTTGATCAGAGGATGGCGAGTTGAGACATCTGTAGTTGGCGTTGGGGGGCCCCGCGTCGCCTTGGCTGGACGCAGCTCGGAGCCGGTGCGTTTTGGAGGTCCGAGGGCCGATTTTGAGAGCCGTCGTTGCTTCAGCTGGCTCTGATCCTGCACGTGCCGTGAGCGGGCCACTGATTGGCCATTGCGCTACAGGGGCTCCTCCTCCTCCTCCTCCTTTTCTAGGGGCTTACATGCGAACCCTACCCCTACCCCCCACGATTTCTGAGGGGGAGGGTGGGTTCACTTCGCTCGGGAGCTCCCGAACAAAGGGAACCCCACCCTCCACCTCAGAAATCGTGGGGGGTAGGGGTAGGGTTCGCATGTGGCCCCCTATTTTCCTCCTTTCTCGCTCCTCCCGGTTCACTCGTCGGCAAGCCTATTCGGGCGTGCAGCGCCCTTCGTGCTGCAGGTTTTCTGGTCTGGCCTCCTCTCTCTCCCCTCTCCTCCCTCGCCCTCTCCTCTCCTGCCCCTCTTCCCCTTACGATGACGACAATGACGGCAATGACGGCGACGACGACGACGACGACGACGACGACGACGACGACGACGACGACGACCTCCGCCACCCGAGCGCTGGCGAGGACGACAGTATGGAGGACGACGATCACCACGACGACGACTTTTCCTGGAACTGGCGACGAGGGGACACCGCGGAGGCCCAGAAAGGCCCCCGACGCTGACGACGACGACGACGACGACGTCGACGACGACGACGACACCGCCGAACCCGACGCCGACGCCGACGCAGGCGGCGATGGCGGCGGCGGCGCCGCCGGCGACAGCGGCGCCGACGACGCCGACGACGACGACGACCGCTGCCCCGCCCAGAGGCCTCCCGTCCCCGCGCGCGGCCCTGGGCGTCCGCGGCCGGCGCCGCCGCCGCGGAGCGCGAGCGGGCGCCATCGATCTCCGTGCACAAGGGTTTCAAGATCCAGGCGCTCTCGCATCAAGCAGTGGCGAAGCGTCCCGACTTGCTTCTAGCAGCGTTAAACCGTAATCACACAGCACAAGTTCGCAAGGTACGCAGTACAACGAGCGTACAGATGTACGAGTACGAAGTGTACAGCACACAGTGAATATTCTGTATGTAAACACGGTAGATACACACGGTACATAAACACTGTAAATGCGCACCGTACATTCGCACCTTAAGCACGCACCGGAAATTCGCAGCGCGTGAGTACACGGTGTAAATTACAGCGTGTGTGTGTGTATATATATACATATATATACACACAGCGTGTATGTATGTACACGGCGTGTATACTGCGCCGGGATAGAGCACGTGTGTACCCAGCGCCGTGTGCGCGGGAAAAAGCGCGCCGCGGAGCCCGCACAGGCAAGAGCCTTGGGAAAAAAGCGCGCGTGCACGCGAGAGGAGCGGGGAGGGCGCGCCGCGGAACGCTGGGGCCCCCGTGCTCGCAGGGCGGGCTCCTGCCCCCGCGGGAACTGCTGGGCCCATCTTCCACCACCACCACCATAGGTAGGAGAGGGAGGAGGAGGGGGAGGGGGAGGGGGAGGGGGAGGAGGATGAGGAGGAGGAGGAGTGAGGAGGAGGAGGAAGGAGGAGGAGGAGGAGGAGGAGGAGGAGGGAGGGAGGAGGGAGGAGGGAGGAGGGAGGAGAGGAGGAGGAGGAGGAGGAGGAGGTGAGGAGGAGGAGGAGGAGGAGGAGGAGGAGGAGGGGAGGAGGAGGAGGAGGAGTGAAGGAAGGAGGGGGGAGGAGGGGGGAGAGGATTGAAGGGGGGAGGAAAGGAGGAGGTGAGGAGGAGGAAGAGGAGGAGGAGGGGAAGAGAGCAGGGAGGACCTTCTCATCTCCCTTCTCCCCGTCCCGCATATAGTAGCGGTGGTGGAAATTGGGCCCATGAACGTTTGCGTAGTTAGGTGGTGGTTTAACGGGCTCTGAACCTTTGGGCCGAAGGGCGGCGGCTCCCCCTTTTGTGCATTTCTGGACTCACCTTTCGCCCAACAAACGGCCAGCTCTGCTCCGAGGAGGGCACACCCAGGACCCACAGGGAACTCGGCCGCAGCACGCCCTCTTGCCAGGGACGTCGCGGCCTCTTCGGCCCCTGCCCTGCGAGGCCCTCCTCGCCTGCGGCCCCTGCGCTACCCGCCTCGGTTCCACCCCTGTCTCCGTGGTGGGTCCCTCCTCTAACTCTCCTCCTTTCCTCCCTGTTCCCTCCGTCCTCCTCCGCCTCCTCCTCCTGTTTCCTCCTCCTCGTCCTCCTCATCTTCCTCCTCTTCCTCTTCTTCCTCCTCTTCCTCCTCCTCCTCCTCCTCCTTCTACTCCTCCCCCTCCTCCTCCTCCTCCTCCTTTTCCTCCTCCTCCACCTCCTCCTCCTCCTCCTCCTCCTCCTCTCCACCCCGTCTGTCGCCTCCGCTCACCTTTCCCTCCCCACTCCTCTGCCCAGCTCCCCCCCTCTGCTGGGGGAGCCCGCCCAGGCCGCTCCCTCCGGGGCCGCCCCTCGGCCGCCGCCGTTTCCAGCGCGCCGTCCCGCCCGGCCGGCTTTCGCGGCTCCCTGGGCCTGCGGCTTCTTGCGGCTCCGCCGCTTGCGGCTTGTGCTCCGCCAGCGCTCCTTGGCGCACTCCCTCGTCGGTCCCCTCTCGGCCCTTCGCTCTCGCCGCCGTCCAGTCCCGGTGCTGGTTCGTGTCACCTTCCACCCTCGCCGTGGTTCCGTCCAGCCAGTGCGCCTCAACGCCATCCAGGCTCGGATGGTTACGACGAGATTGTTTTTTTATCCTCTGGGGGGTAACGCTCGTTACCCGGGCCTCTCCCCCCCCCCCCCCCCGTAACGGTACCGCTCGTACGCGGGGGGGGTCTCGGTCTTCCCCTCCAACATGCTGGTGCCCGAAGGCATGCGCACTGTGGTGTGGTGGTCGCAGGCGCACTGTGGGCGCTCGCAGGCCATTGCGGCGCTCGCATGCGCGATGCTGGTGCTTGCGGGCTTTGCGCTTGTACTCGAATCGTCGTCGTCGTCGTCGTCGTCGTCGTCGTCGTCGTCGTCGTCGTCGTCGTCGTCGACGGCGCCCGAAAACGGCCTCCGGAGGCCGAAACAGGCGGCAAACGTCGTCGTCGTCGTCGTCGACCTCGTCGCTCGTCGCTCGTCGATCATCGTCGTCGCGCGCGCGGGCGCGGGCGTGGTGCCGGGACCACGCGGCGGGCTTTGCGCTTGTACTCGAATCGCAAGCCACTGTGGTGCTCTCAGGCAGAGAGTGCTGCTCGCGCGCATACTATGGCGATCGCAGAGCGCCCCTGCCCCGCCATACCCCGCCCAGCCCAAGCGTTACCGTTACCCGAGGGGCACGACCCCCCCCCCCCCCGGGTAACGAGCGTTATCGGCCAGAATAAAAAAACAATCTCGACTGCTGCCGGCTGCGGGGCCACGTGTGGTCTCCTGAGAGTTCGGCCCAGCGTACACGTGCGCGCGTTCTGCTGTTTGCACGCGGTTTTCTACGCCACGTCGCTGCGCGCGGGGCCGCGACGTCAAAAAAGTGTGTGCATGTGTGCATGTGTGTGAGTGTGTTTGCGTGTGCGTGCGTGTGTGTGGTCGTGTGTTTGCGTGTGCGTGTGCGTGTGCGTGTGTGCGTGCGTGTGTGCGCGTGTGCGTGTGCGTGCGTGTGTGCGTGTGCGTGTGCGTGTGCGCGTGCGCGTGCGCGTGCGTGTGCGTGTGCGTGTGCGTGTGCGTGTGCGTGTGCGTGTGCGTGTGCGTGTGCGTGTGCGTGTGCGTGTGTCTGTGTTTGTGCCTGTGCCTGTGCTCGTTCCTGTGCCTGCGTGCGTGCGTGTGCGTGTGTGTATGTGTTTGTGTGCGTGTGTGAGGGCGTTGTGCGCGTGCTTCTGTGCGCGCGGCGCCGTCGGGGTGAGGCTGGCGCGGCAGGTTTATTGCATCGCTTCGCTCACTCCGCTGGCCCATTTTCGCGCACCTGGCGGCAGTTCACAGGAAGCTCTTGGGAGCTCTCCGAGGCTTTCGGGGACGTCTTGACCTGGAGTCTTCTTGGGGCTCTTGGGGGCCTCTTTGGCGGACTCCTGACCGCCTGTTGGGGGCTTCTTTGGGCCTTATAAGGACCTCTGGGGACCTGAGGGCACCTTCCGTCCCCCCCCCCCGCCTTGATCCCCCCCCCCACTTATCCGCGCCCAACCCGAATTTCTCCTCGTCCCGGCTATTCGTCTCACTCCCGACAGAGGCGGCGCTGTGCGTGGAGAGGCCGCCGCTCCGCTTCGTGGAGCCGGACTACCGGAAGCGCTGGCGGGCGTTCCGGGAGGCTCCCGGCTCGGGCGCCCGCAGACGGGGTGGTGACCACACTGTGTGGTGAGTCGGTGGGGATCCGGGGTCACCGCACGGCTTTGGGAGTGGTGTCGATCTCCGAGGATGTCTCGGGCTTCGGGGTCACCGCACGGTTCTGGGGCTCGGGTCGTTCTCCGAGGATGTCTCGGGCGACTGGGGCTTCCAGGGTCCCAACACCGTGTGGTGACGGACCCTGCGGTGAGGTTTTTGGGGATTTCGAGGTCACCGCCGGGTCTGTCACCACGAGACTGTTTTTCAAGGGTCCGGCGAGAACCCGGGTTCTCGGGCTTGCCCCCCCTCCCCCCCCCAGGATAACCTAACCTTGCCGGTTGTGCAGGTCCGGGGTGGGGGGACGCGTGCATGTGCAGGGCTGCCCACAGCGCGAGGAGGAGGAGGAGGAGGAGGAGGAGGAGGAGGAGGAGGATGGCCAAGCAGGAGGAGGAAGAGGAGGAGGCGGAGGAGGAGGAGGTGGAGGAGGAGGAGGAGGAGAATGGGGGTCGAAGTGGGGGAGTGGGCAGGCAGCGTAAGGGAAGGAGGAGGGGGACGAGCACGATGGCTACGATGATGACGATGGTGATTCTGACGGTGCTGTGGTGATGATGGTGGTGATGATGGTGATGATGATGACGGTGGCGATGAAGGCGGCGCTGGTGGTGATGGTGATGTTGGTGGTGATGGTGATGCTGGTGGTGATGGTGGTGGTGATACCGAGGAGGCGGAGGATGCGAGGGAGGAGAACGATTGAGAGGTGTGAGGGTGCTATAGAAATGGCCCCCTCGATCGCCGGTGCAGCGAGTCTTGGCGAGGACTGTGATCCTGGCGTGCGCCCCCACGCCCATCCGTGTCTTGCGCGCGGAGGGGAGGACGCGGAGGAGAAATGGGAGGAGGACGAGGACGAGAAGGAGGGGGAGGACGAGGCGGAGGAATGCGAGGAGGAGGAGGACGACGACGACGCGGAGGAGGAGGAGGAACAGGGGGAGGCGTTTCAATGTAGGACACCAGGCTACTGGGCAACCGCTGGTGCTTGATTCCAGAGAGTATGTATGTAGCACCCTGCAGTTGCGGACAAAAGTGAGAGGGTCGGACGCGGGGTGGGTCGCGGGTGGGTCGCGTGTGGGTCGCGGATGGGCTGCGAATGGGTCGAGGGGGGGTCTCGGGTGGATCGCGATTGGGTCGCGAGTTGGTCGTGGGCCAGGTCCCGATTGGGACGACGACCACGACCACGACCACGACCACGACCACGACCACGACGACCACGACCACGACCACGACGACAACAACAGCCATCTTAGTATTGGTCGCTCTTATCTAGGCGCGAGCTGGTCAGGTAGATGCGCCACCGAAGGGGTGAAGACTGGCTTCGCTACTATCTTCTCAACCGCGGCAGCTCGCTGGGCCAAAAGGTCCAGTGGCAGGCCCAGATCCTTTATATTGACTATCACCGATGGGCCACTAAGTTAATGGCCCATGTGTGACTGGGGAAGTTGTTCTGGAGGATCTGTTTCAGTCTTCTGCCTTCCCAGGTGCTCATCCTATTTGTGGTGTTGCCTTCTGTTTTCATGTACGGATGCTGGCTTGTGCCCGGGTGCCCTTTTCTCTTGTTTCGCGGCGGTGGTTGTTCTCGAATGCCCCGCCGTGCCGTGCCGTGCTGTGCCGTGATTGGTTTTGAGAATGCAGACAATGCTCGGGAGGGGACACAGCACGGACACAATGCATCGTCGATTCCCAGGGTAATAAATGGAAGATATGGGCAGTGTGGGGGGGGGAAGACGAAAACCCATAACAAACGGGGAACTAGGGGGCATCCGGTGATTTGTGTGTGTGTGTTTATTAGTGTGTGTGTGTGTGTGTGTCCTTGGGGCTCTTCGAACGTGGCATGCCTTGCCGTGCCGCGCTGGTTCTTCCCAGTGGAAACCGACGTGCCTTGCCGTGCCTTGCCGCGCGTGGTCTGCAGGCGCGCCCTGGTCTTCCACCACCCACCAAACCACCCCAACCCAACCCGAAGGCTCAGATTTACCCTCGATTTCCAGTGGGGGGGGTCGGGAAACATCGACAAAAACGAATGTGGGACCCTTACCCCCCCAACCCGAAATTCGGGTCTTCGGGTTGGGTTGGGGTGGTCTGGTAGGTAGTCAGTCTTCCGAGACACATTCGCGCGCCTTGCCATGGCGTGCTTGGCCAGCTGAGCGCGACGAGTCTGTCGTGATGGGTCTGGCCCTAAAAGCGCGGCCTCCGCACACTGAACTAGGATTAAGACGGGCCTGTCCCTCCACAGGGGATATCCAAAAATAGTTTAAACAAATAGTATGGGGACGACTTTTAAATGATGTTTTGACCATTTAGGGGGTATTTTGTTGACTGCTTTTTATTTTTCTTCCAAAACCCCCTTGTAGGAGTGGCAGTGCACGGGACGGGCCTCGAGCTGCGATGTTTCTGATGCGCCCCTCGTCCTTTCGTTGCCGGGGCTGGGTTTGGACCTCCAGGAAAGGCGGGGTCCGTAAGTGCCGTGGGTCGCCGAAGGTGCGGGTCAGTCCTGCTTGACAGGGCACCCGGGGGCCGAGGCCTCCTCTCTCACCTCCGTTCCCCTTCGCCGCCCAGTCCCCCCTCCCCTGCTCTCCGTCCATTCCCTCGGGCCCCTCCCCCCCTTCCCGTCCCAGTCGTTTCGGGCTCCTCCCCCCCCGGCCCTCCCCCCCCCCGTTCCCCTCGCTCCCCTCGCCACCGCTCCCTGCCCCATCCCCTCCCTCTCCGCCATTTCGGCCCTCACTCCTCCCTGGCTCTTTCCGCTTCTGGCGCTCTGCCCCCTCGCCCCCTTCCAGGGGTCAACCAAAAATAAGGTACAACTTTGGAAAAAACCGCGCCCTTCCAGGGTTCCAATTCTTCTTTCCGTCGTCCCCTCTGTGGGCCCCGGAGACGGCAGGGCCGTTTTTTCACCGTTTCCAAGAAAATGCCCCTTGAACGTGGAAACGGCAAAAAAACGGCGACCGGAAACGGCAAAAAAACGGCTCCAGGATTGGAACCGGAGCCAGAATTGGTAAAAAAAACGGCGACGGAACCGGTAAAAAAACGGCGTCGGAACCAACAAAAAAACGGCAAAACGGAACCGGTGAAAAAACGGCCTTGCCGTTTCCAGGGCCCACTAAGGTCGTCCCTGCCTGCTGCCCGGATACCCCCAGGACCCGCCACGGGGGCCCCGGCGCCCGCACCTTCGGTATATCGTTCCGACTGCGAAGTCCTGCTTGTTACGAGGCGCCGAGTGGTTCTCACCGGATGTGTGCCGAGAGGAGTGCGCGACCGGCGTTTGCGCATGATTTGTAACGTACAGTCGGGGCCCTGAAGAAGGAACCCTTTTCGTTGGGGAGGGGATCCGTGTTCCTTGATTGTTTCGCAGCTTGCCTTAGATTTTCCTTAGGTTTTCGATGGGAAATCGAATTTTAATTGATGGAAAAAAGGGGGCGGCAGCCTTCCAGGAGTACGACGCCAGGCCTGATACCCTGTGGCCGTGGCAGCTGCCGCCAAACTGGCGGGCCATCAACCAGCTCCTCGGCGCCGCGCCCACGGAGACGTGGTCCAGCCACCACTGCGGCTGCCTGCGCAGGCTGGCATCTCTGTCACTATGGCCGCAGGCCAGGCTGGCCAGGCGTGGCACCGACATCGACGACCGCTGCCTGCTCTGCGGCGAGGAGAGCGGGACTCTGGCCCACCGCCACCACAGGTGCCCTGCCTGGGAGGGCTGGCGGCGAGATCGCAGGCCCGCCGACTTGAAGCGAGCTGCCGAGCTGGTGAGCACAATGGGCCACCGCTACGAGGAGCTCTTCTGCCAGGGCCTCTTCGTTGACGCCCAGTACCTGGTGCAGAGGCCGCGCTGGGACCCTCGCTGGGAGCGCCGCTCGCGTGGCTGGGACGAGGGCGCGCTCGTGGTGCCCGCGGGCTCCCTCGTCTTCACGGACGGCTCCTGCGTCAACAACGACGCCCCGATGGTCAGGAGCGCGGGCTGGGCAGTGGTGGTTCTCACGCCCGACGGCGAGTGGTTGGCGCAGGCGTGGGGGGCAGTGCCGCCTGCCCTTTTGCCCAGCCAGACGGCGAGGGCAGGCGAGGACTACGCGGCGGTGGTCGCCCTCACGGACATCGTCGGCCACTACCACCTCATGATCGACTGCCTCGGCACGGTCGGGGCTTGCAAGGACGTGAAGAGGGCGGCGGCCCCGACGGCCCAGTTTGCCCACCTCTGGGCGAGGGTCGGCGACGCCGCCGAGGGGGCGCACGTGAAGCACATCCCCGCCCACCGTTCTCGGGCGGCAGTCGAGCAGGGCGTACTCTCGGAGGTGGAGCTCTACGGCAACCGCCTCGCGGACCAGCTCGCGAAGGCGGGCGCGGCGCTGCGCGCCATCGCCGACGAGGAGGCCCTCCTGCTCCAGGGCTGCCTGGCCCGCGCCCGTGACGCGGCGCGGTACGCCGCCGAGTTCGAGGTCCAGGCTACGGAGTCGGGCTTGCGGGACTCCTGGCCCATCAGCTCGCTGGAGCTCGTCGACCTCACCCCCTACATGGCGGCGGAGCTCGACGGCGAGACCGACTTCCTGCACGCCGCCGCGGCGGAGCCCGCCCCTGGGACAGGTGGATTCAGCCCGCCGACGTCGCAGTCCCAGGGGCGCGGCGAGCTCGAGGTGATGCACGACGCGGAGGTGCGCGGGGCTGCCGCTTCAACGACTGGCTTCTGGAAGGAGCCCGACGCCGAGCCTGGCGATGACGTCGGCGTAGCGCAGCCCTCGGCGGCTGACGGCGGCCCCCGCCTCGCCACGGCGGCGGCCCTGGCAGCGGTGGCGGCAGCTGGCGCTTCCAGCTCGCGGCCTTCGCCCGCGAGGCGCCGCCCCGCCTCGGCCGAGTCGCCCGCGGAGGTGCTGCGCCGTGTAGCCCAGCGCAGGGCGCAGGAGCATCCGAGGCGCCGCGAGGCCTCGGCCCCCGCGCCCAGCCCGCGCCTGG